ACCGCGGCCCGCCGGCTCGGCTGGGCTCCCGCGCTCGCCGCCCCGCCGCCGCCGCCGCCGCCGCCTCCGGCTGTCCGGGCTCCTGCGCCGCCGCCCTGGGCCCGGCCCCGCCCGGCCCGCGTCTCCCGCGCCCCGGGCCGCCGCCGAGCACCGCGCGCAGACAATAGCGGGCGACCGGGGGCCGGGGATCCGCCCCCGAGAAGTTCTTCCTCGGAGGGTCGCCCGGGCCCCTGCCAGCGCCCCGGGACCCCGGCCGGGTCCCGTCCGGCGGCTGATGCCAGCGGCCCCGCTCGCGGGCGCCGGGCTGGCGGGGTGGGGGCGCGGTCGGGTGCCGGGTGCGGGGTCCCGGAGCCCGGGCGCCTCCGCAGCCTCCGCCCTGAAGCCGCCGGCTGGCCCGCACGGGCTCGGAGCCGGCTCGCTCGCCCTAGCTGTGCACGGAGGGACGGCTCCCGCCCGAGAGCGGCGCGCGGCGGGCTGCAGGCGCCCTCTGGAAGGCAGCAGAAGAAAGCCCCATTCAGTTTGAATTTGCAGAAATTCAATCCGGTCGCGGGCGGCGGGAACAGATGCGAGCTCCACTCCGCAGCCTGTGCACTTTCAAATCCCTCGTAGCCCCTCCTTCGCCGCGCGCAACAGCCAAACTCGACCCTCGCCGGAGAGGGGAGGGCCCCGGGAGGGGAGCGGCGGAGTGGGCGGTGGAGTCACCTGAGCGCCAGACAGGGGGACCCTGCGCGGCCTCGGAGACGCGCGCTCCCGGGCCGCCCCAATCGGGCTGCCTCCGGCTGCGCCTCTTGTCCGGATTCCGGGCTTGGGCTTTCTGGACCTTTCCGCGATGAAATCCACCCCCAGCCGCACCCACCCGGGGCAGGGGGAGGGGAGGGCGGAGGGAGAGCTCTGGAACCCCGCGGACCGGGCTTAGGAGCCGGGGGTGTCCAGTCCAGGGCCCGACACACAGTAGGGCTCTGCGGACCCTGGATGGATGGAGAGACGCCGGGTGGGAGGAGGGGTGGGGAGGCGGCGGGGCGCCTGTCCCGGCTCGCACGCAGACCCGATTGCCGTGTTGGAGGAGGAGCAGCCGCAACAATAGTAGTGGCGGCGGTGACGGAGGAACCTGGGCGCCCGCTGCCTCTGCGTGTAGGTTTACACCTTCGCTTTCCATCAAAACGCGGCCGGCGATGGCCGGAGGAGCTGGATCCGCACCCCCCCCCCCCGGCTCCACAAGGCTTTTGTTCTGAGCGCGCCGTGACCGTGCTCATCCCTCATAAACAAGTGCGGCTGTCCTGACGGCTCTGGTTTTCTCCTGCGTCCCCAACGCCTTCCCGAACGCAAACGGGGAATCTCGGGAGGCAGGAGCTTGGGGTGGGGGGGGAAGGGGGGAGTAGGTAAGGGGAAGCATTTACCAAACACTACCTGTTGAGCTGCTAGATAAAGGGCGTCAGCGTTTAATGCAAACTTAGCCCCGGGTGCGACATCAGAGTTGAAAGGAGAATTCGGTCCTAACCTAGTTCCTTTCTTTATGGACCCCTCGGTGAACGAGTGTGGCGAGATCCCCGTCAGCGCTCTGAGATGGGGGAGGGGGGACACCACCATCATCAATCCAGTTGGAGGCTCTCTGATCCATCTGAAAAGCGACCCAGAGAAACGCCTCTCTTGAATAGATCAAATGTTAAATATGCTATAGTCTGTTACTCAGAAGTTAGGAGGCACTAGCCTCCTTAACGACTAAGCTTATGTTTTCTGTCAGTCTTATTGTCCCCATTTTCCAGAATTACATTTTTTAAAGATTTTTTTTCTAAGATTTTATTTATTTATTTGACAGACAGAGATCACAAGTAGGCAGAGAGAGAGGAGGAAGCAGGTTCCCCGCGGAGCAGAGACCCCATGCGGGGCTCAATCCCAGGACCCTGGGATCATGACCTGAGCCAGAGGCAGACTTAAACCTGCTGAGTCACCCAGGCGCCCCAAGGTTTATTTATTTATTTTTAGAGAGAGAGAGAGCACAGAGGGAAGGGGCAGAGGGAGAGAGAGTTTCAAGCAGGCTCCTGGCTGAGGGGTGAGCTGACCAGGGGCTCGATCCTACAACCAGAGATCATACCTGAGCCAAAACTAAGAGTGGAACACTTTTACCCACTATGCCCTCCCAGGCGCCCCCCAACATTACATGTTTTTCAAATGTTTTTCTTGCTGTGCTTTGGGACTATGGCACACCCCACCCGCACAATTTCTGCAAGGCCTGTCCAATCACTTTAATGTGTCTGATTCAACAATCAGAGTTGAGGACAGTAACATGGGGTGGAGGGAAGGGGGGAGCTGTATGACCAGCCCTGGGGCCCTGCAAAGTAAAATGGTCAACAAATGTCTGGTGAAGAAGTATGGACTCCCTTTGGGGTCATAATCATTCTGAATCTTCTTTCAGAAAAGATTTTGGAATTTCCCCAATGTTGTTTTAATAGAGTGTGATGTTTTCATTTTTTTTTTTTAAGATGTAATTTATTTATTGGAGAGCGAGACAGAGATAGTGAGAGAGGACAGGAGCAAGGAGAAGCAGGCTACCCGCTGAGCAGGGAGCCCGACAGGGGACTCGATCCCCGGCGTCCGGGATCATGACCTGAGCCAAAGGCAGGCACCCAACCAACTGAGCCACCCAGGCACCCAATAGAGTGTGATGTTTTAAAAAAAATTTAGGCCACTGTCTCTGTATGAAAATTTGGAAGTTCCTTTTTTTTTATGGTATAAGGCAAATTTCGGAGCCAGTTCATCAAAGTTTCTTCATGGCCAAAAATAATAATAATAATAATAAAGTCAGCTTCAGGCACAAAAATGGTGGAATATGTTTACAGTAAAATAGAGACTTTTCTTTCCTTTTAATTATCCTCTCAAGGTAGAGGTCAGAAAAGGGGTGAAGAAGAGAGAAAATCCAGGCCCATTAAATCTTTTTCAACCCTTGATGCCTGGGTTTGATTCAAGTTCACTGCTAATTCCATCAGTTGGGATGGATGCCAAAGAGAAGTCCAAATCCTATGCTTGCCTGGGTTTAGGAACTGGTGTTTGAACTACAGGTCCTATTCTCTGAAATGATCTGGTTTGAGAAGGAATTCCTTTATGTAAGACAAATTCATACCCAAAACAATCTACTGCCCTCATAATAGATATACAGAAAACATCTGGTTGAAAAGCAGTAGTCCAGCATCCAAGATGTGCTCTGAATTATCTAGACTTCTCATCCTCCTGTGGGATCTCTCTGGCACTTGTCTTCATCGAGGATCGGGCTTTTGCACCTTTGCTTACCTCTGCACCTTTGCTTACACCACACCTACCCCCCAGTCCGATGCCTCCCACCCATCTCTGCCCAGTGCAGATGTCCCCTTTCCCACAATGCCCTCCCCCGTCAGGCAGCTGCAGGAGGCTCATCACTGCTTCCCTCCCTTACTCTAGATCATTGATTTCACATTCTCCTTATGCCCTGCATTCCTTACCATGAGGGTCTTTCTTCTCTGTTAGACTCCCTAAAAACAGGAGCTGTGTCTTATTTTACATTTTACTTGCCCCAAGGGCACCTAACAGAGTGCCCAAGACATGGTCGTTGTCCAATAAATATTTGCTGAACAAATGAATGAAAGTAAGCGTTCGCTGATTCTCCAGTGAGTAGAGTTTGATGGCTCCTGACTGAGAGACTCCATCTATCTTGCGGAAGAACATGTCTAATAAGTTTCCAAAAGCCTTTGCAGTTATATTGTTGGTTGCCTTGGTTGGGGGCGGGAGTCAACAAATCAAACTTCCTGTCTTACCAGAGTTGAGCCATTGTCTCCTTTGGATGAGTTAACCCGTTAAGAAACATGACCAACTATAGCGGGCTGCAAAGCCACGGAAAGCTTTGTCCGTTGACTTGTCCCCACCGCTCCCTTCCTTGCCATCTTCCTGCCCCATCTCCTCCCTCCAGATGGCAGGCAACTGTCTCTCTGCTCCCACAGAACAGCCAGCTTGGAGACCCAGCTGGAAGCAGTCAAAGACAATTAGAAGTAATCAGGCTGGCATGGGCAGGAAATGAAAGTTGGCTAGAGGGGGTGAGGCAGGCAGAAGCTGGCTGGTGACTTAGGCAAGGGACGTGGAGAGCAAAGCGAAGACAGCAGGCAGGAGTGGATCCATGCTGCCTGGAAGACATTTTGTGAACTCTGTTCTCGATAATTCTCCCCAAGCCAAGCTTCCAATAAATACTCGAGGCAGCATTTGCACCCAGGTCCCCAGAGTTCAAGGCCCCACTCTTCCTTCACGACCCCCCGATGTTGAGTGTCACAGTGTGAGGCTGAGGAGGGAAGGATTCCTCTGAAGGAAAGGCGTGTGTGGAAGCAGCCTGGTGTGGTGCTGGTGAGCAGGCTGCCGCCAACATCCCACAGTGAAGTACTTCTCTGAAAATGAATCGTGACTCACCACCCCTCTGTGCCTTGGTTTCCTTCATCTGTAGAGCTGGGATGTTAAGGAAGCACGAAGATTAAATGAGATGCTGTACACGAGGCATTCAGCCTGGTGCCTGGCACTTAGAGGCAGAAGGTGACCTTTATCAACACCTCTT